CATCTTCCTCAGTGTATTCTTCTTCTTCTTCGGTGGTTCCCAAGCCAGCAGGTCCTTCCTCCTGCCACCTGCCCCCTGCCTCTCAGTCAGAGCACCAAAGGGACTCGCTCCACATGAAGCCCAATGTCCTGTCAGAGAGACTGACTTCGATTCAGTCGGCGGTTCAGTCCTCACAGGAGGAGGTGCAGAGCAGCTCTTGGACACACTCGGTGACCGACACACGCGAGCGAGCTCTGGCAGACACGCGGACACACGTGCTCTCAGACATGTGGACTTGCAGTTCTGACTCGGACTCCAGGACGTGTGTGGATCTGCAAATACGTTCTCCGCAGAACGCCAGTAGACAAGGAATTTACATGCAGCAATACACACCACAGCACCTCCCCCCTCCTCCCCACCTCCCTCAGATGCTTCCCCCTCCTTTCCCTCCTCTCCTGTCCCACCCTCACCTTCCACACAGACCCCCCCTCCTCCCGCCAAACCCCCTCTCCGGTCCCGAGCCCCAGACTCTGAACTCGTTCCTCGGACCGCCTGTGCCTCCACACTCGGTTCACATGAGCCACCTGCACCAACCCAACATCACCACACAGGCCCAGAACTACTTTCAGCCCTCCCTTCTTGCCCCGTCCTCTCAGCCCAACACCCCCCCTCAGCCTCTGTTGCCTCATCTGCCCTACCAACATCAGTTTTCCAAACCCTTCTTCCCCCCTCAGCCCCCCAGCTTTGCCTCTCACCCGTTCCTCCCCCGTCAGTCTTACCTTCCACAGCCACCAGGCTCTTACCCACTGCAACCACAATACCAAACATCTGCACCAGTACAGACTCCACTACCCCTCACACAGGCTTTTCCTCCCCCTCCTCCTCCCCCTTCCTCCTCACCGCCTCCCCCTCTCCCGCCTCCCCCTCTGCCTCAATCCTCTCCTATGTAACCCCCTCCTCCCCGGCATGAAGAGCAGCAAAAGCAGATTTTATAGTAGTATTTGTATGTACCAATGCTCATTTTAAATGACTGTAAATGTATGGGCTTTTATTTTGGTGGTCTTGTAAAATTGTGTATAAAGGAAGTAAACAGAAGGAAGTTAAGAAGTGTCGGTATGGGTACAATGTCATTATTATACAGAGTTGAACTAATATATCCCAGACCGCTGGACTGAACTGGTTTAGATTGTACCGGCGCTTTGTGCAGAAGCAGAACGTTGTTCCGTTTTATCACAGGTGGTTTCAGACCAGCAGTCGGTGAAGTGTGCGCAGACGTTAGCTCCAGATTACCAAGGCTCATGGTTGGAACGAGTGGCCCGGCAGGCCAAACTACTGTTTGGTTTTGTGTTTTCTAGGTGATCAGAACATTGAGCTGTCAGATGTAGGAAGAAAACAAGAACTTTTATTCAGATTTGTGTTATTTATTAAACAAAACAGTCTTAGGAAAGATCTGTTTGTGAAACCTGCAGCTAATGCTTCCATTTTTGTGGCTTTTTTAAACGTTGTTCTTGTTGCCCACAGATTGAGGGCCACACGGTCGTACTATCTACTGTATTTTATTAATACATCTTAATCAGTACAGACAATGGCAGGACTTTTCCTTCATATTGTATTCAGAGCAATGATGCTCGGCAATAATCCGCTGAAAATAAAAGTCCTCTGTATTATTTTTTTATTTGTTCCGTTTTAAGATGACAATGGGAATCATTAACAAAGAGTGCAATTAATAGCTGTCTAAATGACTTCTCTATTTGTTTCCAGTGTTAAAAATCAAAAGGAGACTCTCTGTTATTGTAAATTCCCACTTAGACGGTGAGTACTGTGTTCAGTCAGGCCAATGAACAGCCTCATTTATAAATACTGTTCTTTATACTTGTTATTATCTCCGTCGGTGGCAGAGCTCTCTTGGTTGATGTCTGTCTTGTATCTGTTGGCTGTGTAACAAACGCTTCCCAGTTTTAGAAACCAAACATTTGCTTTGGAGCTTAAAACAAGGATCCAACCTGGACAAGGCTGTTAAAGACCAGCTTTCAGAGTCTCAGGAAAACACGTTCAGGTCACATCTGCAAATATCCATTGCACGGTTTTCAGTTTCAGGTAGTTGTTGCAGTTAATTATCTAACATAGTTTCAGCACATGTGGCTATTTTAACGTTCAACTTATGATCTTACATCACCTGGACACAAATACCAGAATTCAGAGAGCAATACAGTCACAGTTGGTAACGGCGTTCAATTATGACAGTTTACAGCACTTTTTATCCTCCATATCCACGTCTGTGTGTATACAGGTGATGTTAATGAAGAAATAGTCGTAATTATTTTAGATGATCAATTTCTGATTCTTCCAAGACTTGTAAGTCCTCTGTCTCAACACGTGGTGTAAGACACTAAACATAAAAGGTTCAGCGATCACTCCCAAAGCACTTTTTATTTACCTAAAGTCCAGTTTTACACAAGTGTTCTGCATCATGTCTAATAAATGCTTATTTTCTAACCAGGAACTAACTTGTAATTTTAAGATGTAATAGTTTATTGAAGGTCCTTTGTAAGTATGAAGAGAGTTTGCTTCTCCGGTGATCTGTCTCAGTGCATGCCTCTCAGCTGAGGAAGCTTTTTGTCAACATTGGAACGCAGCCCACTTACTAATGTAGCCCACAGCATTTCCCCAGTGCCTGTCCTTCCACCGTGGCCCAGAGACACGCAGCGCTGAGAGTTCTGTCCTTTCAGGAGTTTTAGGTTCTCGTCGGAAGATGAGAGGAAAGCCTTAAAATTGGTCCTCAAATCAGCTGGAAAATCCTCCAGAAATCTGCAGTTTAACTACAGACAAATTTGAGGGGTCATATCCCAAAAACAGAGTCGTATTTCGCCTAAAAAACATGATGAAACATGACAAATATCGCCTTACATTTTTTCTGCCTCCAACAACTCCCGTCTCAGAGACAGAACTCCTCTCTGTGTGGCTCTGAGGACGCGGGGGTGATGATTAAGGACTTGATACCACTTTATAAGGCGCTCTGCAGCTCTTTTTTATGCTTTTGAGTTTTAGATGAAACATGACAAGAACTTTGATTTTGTCTTGTACAAATGTGACGAAAGCTATTGTTGACAACAGAAGTCTTCAGAGGCTTGTGGTGTTTTCAGACTTTATTTATCTCAAGTTTGGTTTTTATTTTTGCATTTTAGTTATTTTTAACTGTCAGCACTGTAGTGTACATAAGACGTTTTGTAAAGAGGAAAACAACTTGTAGTGTGGTTTCTACTTTAAATATGAGCCTAACTAATAAAAGGTTCACTGTATGAAAATGTTTGACTCAAAGCGTTTTTTTATTTTAGTTATCTGCACCCTTTTTCTCAGAATTTAAGGTATTTTAAAAATTGTTCTCCATAATCACTTTCAAATGTAAATCACTGATTTGTCTGTTTTTAGGTCAGTTTTCCATTAGCCTAAAATCTAGACCTAACCCTCACAAATTTAGGATGACTTGCCAGTCTAGTTTTCCACATCTGAACAATTCTACCTCATAAATTATTTAAAATGTTGTGTAATAGCAGATTATGTGTGCACATTCCAGGGGGGCTGAAGTGTCCTTAAAAGGGCAGAAGCACCAAGACTGATGCAGGCCTTTTGGCTCCATCATAGTGAATTTCAGGCTACGTTCCAATTACATGTTCCCAGCCATAGCACTTTATAATAGTTCAGATTCTTCAGTTGGAGGACATTTAAGTGTAAAAGTACACATCAATACAGGCTAAATGACAACATTGCAATCAATTTAAATCATTTATTCTACAACACATGCATAAAGTTCAAAACGGATTTCAATAAAGTGCAGATGGAAAAAACATCTGGATCATTGGCACAAATCAAACTTATGCACAAAGAATAAAATATCCATAACAGGTCATGGAGTGCCAGAATAATACAGCCCAATCTGCTTTTAACACAGTCTCACAGTTTATAACTGGACACGTATTTTACAAAGTAAAAATCAACCCAGTAAAAGTCAAATGAAGAGCAGCGTGTTTTCTTTATAAATATGCTTGTATCATATTTAAATAAGCAAAGCAAACAGCTCAGAAGTGATGAGAAAGGGTACAGCCGCCCTGAATGCAGCCGCACACATGTACAATTTAAATAGAAACATGCGTTTGAAACCCTTAACAGGAAATGATTAGTTAAATAATTAAAAGTGATGCTGAATATTGTAAATTCAAAATAACACTAAACAGCTTTTTTATCTCCAGTGTTGGCTTCACAGTAAGACATTATATATATATATATATATATATATATATATATATATATATATATATATGAAGCTTTTAGGATTATTTTCCCCCAATAAATGAGTCACTAGCAGCATTTATCTAAAACATTCAGATGTTGAACTGAACAGCCACAATTCTCCTCTTTAAAGTACGCTGTAACAATAGGAGCCAGTCAAGATGGCTCAGGCAGGCCACACAAATAGCCTAACACATTTTCATATGTTTTTTTATACTTTTTTTTATTTTAAATATCAAGTCCTAAACAGATGTTAAACCTCTCTCCTTTCAGGAAAGATGTTCAGTCCTAGTTCTACCAGTGCTCCCAGCATCATGGCCCACAGAGGTATGAGGACAAATGTCAGCTTGACATCAGCTAGTTTTTCCAGTTTGGCACACAGTGTCAAGAAGAAGCCCAGTTTGAGCAGCATGGCTGTGAGGTACCAGGTACGCAGACGGAGGTCAGGAGAACCGTTGCGTGGGTCATACCCAGGTTTGCAACGACCTGCCATCTTGATGGCAAGCATAAGGATGAGGATGCCGTCAAAAACCCAGACTGGAAGGAAGATCAGGAACCAGTTCCACTGCACCTGGAGAGAAAAGGAGGAGATGTAAAAGAGTACCACAATTCCTTTACGGTAGATTCTTTTGTCTGCTGTCAGAAAAAAATGTGAGCATTAGATTTACAAAAAACCCAAACAAAATTTACTTCAACTATATGACTTTAATCTAATTGATGAATAAACATGAAATAGCTTGTGGCACACCTTCCCATCCAGTTTGAGTACCAGCATGATGAGAAAAACCAGGGTAAAGACCCAGGTCAGCAGAACCCTCTGAGCCAGAGACATTTCACCGTCAGGAGACCCACATCAGAGAACTAAACCTGCAGGTGGAAAGACCACACAGGCAGGTAATAAACACCGAAATGCAAAAGAGTTCACAGAACCTATGTCAATGCGTGCCTGATGATACATTCCATTATTTATGGGAAAACTTGCATTTAAGAACAGTAGCGCTATTAGATTAACATGCTAGCTAAAATAAGCTAAATCAGAATGCTGCACATGTTAGCTTAGCTAGCTGTTAAGCGTTTTGTAAATCGGATGGCTGAGTTGTCGGGTTACCTCAGTGTTTTCTCAGCTCGACGGTCAGCCTCTTCTTCAACTGTGTACCGCACACCAACAACATCATACCATTACTGCCCATGAACCCCGTAATGATTATTAACCAACGCCATGTAAATGAGCACAGTTTGATAGATATTTGGACCCGTTATTTTTGAGCCAGACCAGCCCCTCCCCGAAGCTGATTGGTTCTTCTATTTCAGCGTCCTCTAGCGTGTTTTACCGTAACGTTTTTGCATGAGGCTAATCCATTTCTTCTCCTGCAGTGAATTTTAACTTCCGCTAGAGGTAAGTAACGTTCTTATTTCATTTTGAAAGCTCGACGAAACATGCCATTCAACGAGCAAATAGCATATACTGTTTCTTTTATTTTACACTTTTAATCGGAACATGTGTGCCATTTATGCTACGCGTCCGTGCTGTTTAAACGCGCGTAGTTGAATGAGCTAAAATGCAGTGGCGTCTCTGTGTTGATCTTTACGGTAACGGGCTCGAGCCTTTTTTTTTTACACTGACTAGCGACTTGGAAAGGAAAAATATTTTAACATTACCGTGCAGGCGTTCAGCGCCTATTCCGATACAATGAGCAAAGCTGGCGGGCCATTACACTTTAAATGGCCCTACTATAGCGTAGTTTACTAGTGCAAGGAGACGCAGGGTAGCTGCTGCAGTGAAAGGAGGTAAGCTTGATTCGGACAGCTGTATTGGTTTTGTGACTGCCACCGGTGGCTTAGCTAACCATGTAGCTCGACTTCAGTTAGCAGCGGATGGAGGGGGATCACTTTGGAGCCGCCGGAGCTGATCGAAAGCACCTTGGCTGCATCGAGTTAATTGTCCGCTAGCTTAAAAATCTTCAAAATACTTATCAAAGTGGTAAAGAGCTCGTATTTTTGTAGTAAAAAAAAACACACAGGAACGTCCCCTCCATCTTATTCCTACCTTCTGCTAAAAACCTTTCTAAGCACGTTTTACTTTACTTTTCATGTTTCTTAATTTATTTAGAAAAATTGAGAGTTAGAAAATTTAAGGAAATGGTTTACAGCGGCGCTTAATAAAAATATAGTAATTTTATGTCTGAAAACTTCATATCCGGAGTAAATATGATACGCATCATAATAAAAATCAACACTTTGATATTTGGCTTTTGAGAGATGTGTCATTGTTCAGCAATTTCTGAGTTATTTGTAGTTGCTAGCAGCTAAATGCTGCATCTCCTGACAACTTTTGGATGAATTGCATTCTCTCCTGATAGATTTTTGCCTAAATGTTAACATTTATTCGGAATATAGACCAACATTCGTATAAATCAATTGTATTATTAGTAAATAAATGAATATAGAACAGTTGATCTATCTTGAATTAATTATTCTAGCAACATGTATGGATCCTGATGCAGGATAGGAAGCAAACTTGATGTGAATCTGACAAGATAGCTGCTTAATTTTTAATAATCAATTGGCCGTTCTGATCCAAACATTTGTCATTAGATTATTTGCCCGAATCTGTTAAAACGTCCTGCACTACTTCACATATTTAGGCTCACCGAAGGGAACGGTCCCGCCTGTTTTGTAGACCATCTGATTACCTTACAAGTGTATTACCCAGAGTTGGTCATTTATTACAGCACAAATATAAATCCTAAATTTACCATCTTTGTCATGTTGGCTGAGACAGTCTCTCTAAATAGATCAGAGTTTCAAACTGAAGGTCAAGTAGACCAGGTTACATTTAACTTGTAAATCCTGCTCCAAAATGATGACGCCAGCAGAAATGATTGGCGGTGCTATGAGCTGTTGTTGCAGCTTGCTGTTTTCATCTAAACTCCTTCAGGTTTCAGTTTACTTTAGACACACAGCAGTGTTGTGCAACAAAACCTGCATGGATTTGGCTGCTGCTAAATATAAAACATAATAAATATTTTATCCAGCGAAGATGCAGCAGTCCTCTTGCATAGATATTTGCTTTTTGAGTCCATTACCATCACTGCTGCTATTTTCCTTTGAATGCAACGTTACAGAAAATATTGTGAAACATCAAAGCACATTCATTGTCATCTGAGTTAACAAAAATAACAAAACTGCTTTCAAATGATCAATCACACTTGCACAGGATCGTTAAAGAAATATTAGAACTATTTTTTGCAAGGTATTTTATTTTTGTACCCTTCCTTTACCAGCGGCTGTTTTTAGGCACTAGTGATGTCTGATTAATGAGTCTGCACCCAGCTGGCGTCTGCAGATGCAGGGTTCCGAACACGCTCACAACTTGAAGGCATACACAAAGTATTTGAGACATGACATGTCGTCTGCTAAGCCAGTAGGTCTTGTCAGAGTAGTTGTTTGTCAGTTCCCAGGCAGTCAGTATGTTCGTTGGGGTGTGTTTTAGTAATTATCCAGATTTAGTGACCAGGATATTTACATCAGTGCTGAAGTAAATCCCTCTTTCCTCCCATCTCTTGTGTTTACCTTATTTAAGAGTTTAAGTGATGTTACATTGCATTTCATCTTGCTTTGCATGTATCTGCCTGCAGAGTTGGTTACATCATCAGCTGCAGTATAGTTGCATCACACACCAGAATATCATTTTGTGTTACTGCAGTAGCATATTTTCTAGGTATACAGTTCAAGTTCTGAGACATGTTCTTTGCCGTCTGCTTAGCTGGGCTGCAGAACAGAATAACTCCTGGTACAGGAGGTTGTGTTTATAGTTGGGAATCTGACAAACATCTCCTGTTTTATTGGCTCTGGCACTTAAACCTGGCTCCAGTTTAAACAGATTACTAACAGGTTCAACTCAAAGTTATTTCTAGTTAGGTAATATAAGACACACCACAAAACGTTACAGCTTGGATTTAGCTGTTTTGAAGGTCAAAAGGTGCAGAAATACTAATTTGATAGAATGACTTAACATCAAACAAGCATTTTTTACTTTAAAAATGTACTTGTTCTTAAGTGTGTTCTTTACACACTTAATTCTTAACATTTAATTTTTGCAATATAAATTGAGGAATGTTATTTTTTGAATAAACTTGTTCAATAAATTGGTGTTTTTAAATAGTATCGAAATCGAGTATCGAGTTTTTCCCCCAGTATCGTATCGAGTTTGAAATTTTAGTATCGTGACAACCCTACTATATTGTTGTACATGTGTTGGTCTTACGTCTCTGATTACCGTCATTACCACATGTTTTTTTCTTTTTCTCCTCTTACTTTCCTTTAAATATTCTCACTATTATTAATAAGTGTTATTAGCATGTTTAGTCTTTTTTTAAATAACTTAAATAGGATCTTTTAAACAGTGTTTTTGTTGTATGTTGATCTGCTAGTCTTATTTCACTTTTGCATTTACTGTCTGTGCTTGTTGTTTTGTTGTTTTTATTATTATTCTCTTTTAACTATGGCTACTTGTTGCCTCTTCGATAAACATGCTGCTTTTGTGATCCGGCATTGTTGAATACATTATGTACTCCATAATGTTTTATATGTCCCTTTGTAGAAAGCCAAATTTACTTTGAAGAAAGCCAAATTTACAGTTGCCACAGGACTACAGATGAAAACTAGCCGATGGCTAATTCTGGCATGTTTCAGCATGTCTGATGTTAACATGCGCTGTCCTGATGAATAACCAAATGATTGAACTTAAGTTGCATTTTATAATCATTCTAAAACATTTCCTCATTTTTCAGTTGTGCTAAACTGCAGCCTTCTGGGTAGCAGGTGGTTTTAGACGTGTTTATAAATGAATGAAATCATCCTTCTCAGAGTTGACTGATGGTTTCTGTCAAACTAAAGTGTAAAACACACACATCAAAGCACTAAAACAAGGCCAATGGTTTTTTGTTTTCAACCATAAAAGGCTTACAATCAGATGCCATTTTAAGACTGTTTAAATTTTGCTCTGTTTTTTTATTAGTATCACAAACTATCCAGATTAACTCAAAAATAAGTCAAAAAGCCACGTATTTATTCTGCTCACTAGGGATGTGTATTGGTGAAATGCTGGCGATACAGTGCATATCACGATACAGGGGAGACAATACGACATATCACGATATATTGTGATACATTCAGCCAGACGATATTAGCGATTTTTGTTTTAGACTGAAATTATTGTAGGAAAATTCAATAAACAGTCCAAACTGATACGCAACATCTTTAACAGAAGGTATCTGAACCTCAGTGGTGGAAACAAAACCCAAATGCACACTGCTGCTGATAACTAGCGGTCAGCATTTGAATTGCACCAAAAGAAAAGAAAATACACAAATGTTTGCATGTAAAGTCTTCCAAAAATTTGATACACAGCTTTTGAATATCGATATATCGCAGGAAAAAATATCGCAACATATTGCCATATTGATTTTTTTCTCACATCCCTACTGTTCACCCAATGAATCTTTGCTTTACAAATTCCAGCTACGTAAAAAATGGATTTGTATAAAATATATCGTGTTTAAATTCCCTAAAGCGATCCCTGCTGTGAGGTCTACTGTAGCATCAGTGTCTGACGTATGCTGAGCCGACATGTCTACACTAATAATATTATTCTGTCTGAGTAAACCACATCTTAAAGATGTGCAATTACACAATCAATTATTATTTTTGACTTTAATTATGTAACATGATCCTTGGACATCATTTGTTAATTTATACAATAAAGCTGTCATTTGCATTGCTTCTGCTGTGTAGCAACACACACCTCAATAACTCAGTCTTCATGTGGTCATGGAGTTCTGAGATGTGCTTCATGTAAAAAAAAAAAAAAACCTCTGCAAAGCTAATTTACCATGAAGCTATACATCCTTTATTTAAATTCCTGCTATTTTGATAACAGTTTAGCCTAAATATACATATAAAATTTCACTTTTTAACCATAAATGACTTCCAGCACACATCTTTACAAATTTTATGTTTATTGTGGCGCAGATTGCTTTAAGACAATACTGATTTAAATGGTTTGTGTGACAGGCAGTGCAGTTTTTTGTTGTATCGTGTAATTGTGTGTCTGAGATGTTTATTAGGCCAGTACAAAAAGCTTGAATATGATTTTTTTTTTAGATCATTTTCCAGACCCTCCCCATGAGCTGCACTGTTGGGTTGAAATAGTCTGGATTATTACTGTTTCAGATAATTCATGATATGTGTGTGAACCTTTTTCCTACATCTTTTCATTTCAGCAAATATATATGTAGCTCCTTCAGTGGAATTATTATGTAAACTCAGTCTCACAGTGATCAGATTGTAATCAATCGTCTGAGTGAAATTTTACCGATTACCGGATTAACAAGCTTCGACTTTAATTCAGACTCGGATGTAAATAACCTCTGCTGTCGTTGGTTTAAATCCCACAAGGGGATTTTTTCAGACTGAGCTTAGTCTGAATTGTCTCTTTTCTGTCCCCCTGATGTCCAGATCCTGCCGTAATTTGGTTAAGACAAAACCGCAGTCAGCTAGAAGACCAGACCAGAGGTGAGTCGTGTGTTTGTGTTTGTTTGTGTTTGTTTACCATTTTGCTGTCCTCAACCAATGTCCTCAGACTGGCTAAATTTGTTTGTTTGTTTGATGCTTCAACACTCACACATACAGAGCTAGTTCAGGCACCAGTTCATGAGATGTGTTTACTGTCTGAAAGAGAGAGATGGATGGGAAAAACTGAAACAGAACAAAAACATACTCCTTCAATTCCTCTTTGAGGAGTGCCCATAAGTGGTAAACACAGGGGTGTGTGTGTGCGTATGCGTGTGTGTGTGTGTACTAGACCTTGAAGATTGTCTACAGTCAGCATCTTCTTTAGTCCATCACAGGTCTCTGGTTTAGACTCAGCCCATTGCCACAGGCAGGTTTGGAGGTAATTCATAATTTAAACTTGCAAACGGCTTTTAATCCTTCCTTTTGACTTGTGTAGCACGATGGGGATGAGGTCCAATTTGATTAACTCAGGGGAAAAGAAGATTCAGTGTGGGAGGGTAATTCTCTAATCTTAGATGTCAGGTCTCATTGAGTTTATCTACAATGTGCAGGGTTTCCCTTACATAGGCGTAGCCGTGGCGGGCCGCCACAGCTGAAATCCCACCGCCACGCCTACAAGATCCCAATTTTTTTTTTTTTTGCGCTGTTTCCTGAAGAAGCAGCGGGAACTACTATGTTGTCGCTTGTGATCACTAGGGCTGTCGCGATTGAGGAATTTCCCCTGCTGTGAGTCATGGCAGCTCAATATTGCGATATGCGATATTATTGCACCCCGTTTTTATTTATGTACTTAGCAAATTTGTTTGTTAATTACTAAACTCATGGCAATATTTCCTTTGAAACATTGTGCTTACACATTTAAAAAAATGTTAGAAAAAAATACATGGCCATTTTTAACACTTTATTGAATGCCGATCAAAGGGCAGTAACGGCATTCTCTGACTGAACTTAAAAACAACATTCAGGAGGTTTAACTTTGAAATGCAAATTTGGCTGCAACATCTAACAGAAATAAAAAAAAGTGCCCTACTATCTCCTCGATCAGCGCAGACTTTACCTCTCAGCATGCGCTGTCGCGAGATTTAATCAAGTGCGGTAATTGCGGTGGCACGTCATGCAGCGCGGTGGGTTTCTTAATATCGCGATATATTGTTCTTGCGATTATTGCGACAGCCCTTGTGATCACAGCCGGCGGCAGCAAGGAGGAGCAGGCAGGGCAAGGTGAAGTTACAGCATAAGTTACTGAGTATAAAATTAGAAAGGTAGCAGTGGATATAATGCTTTTTGGTTTACATGTTTCAATAGCATTAAGATAAACGAGTGTTGATAATCCTGACAGGGTTTCCTCCAGTGCTTATTAGACCAGGTTCTCCTCCCCCCACCAGGCTAATCATCAGTTATTCATGTAAAATTTATTTATTTTTTCATGTCTGACTTTAATCTAATACTGTATTACGGCGTGAGCGCAACAGCGACAACTTAAGATCGATGTGTGAGCAGCCTGAGAGGTCGGGTGTTTCATCTGAACCCTTAAAACCTCCAGCAGGCTACGCTGCACTATTGACGTGTTAGCGCGCGGCGCTAACAACTTAGCGACATGACATGTCTCGGAGAAAGCGTAAAAACACGTTGGACGCTTCTTCTGAAGCGGGAAAATAACACTTCTTCTTAAGCAGAGCACGACGTCGCCTCGGCTCGTTCACGGTCGAGCCGGACTGAGCTCGATAACATTGACCCAGCACAGCCACTGGGTCGTTGGATCTGCCCCGTGACTGCCTGATGGAAATCCAGCGGGTTTCATCAGACTCGTAGTTTCTTGTTTTTGCTGGGGACCCCCTGTATTTTACCGCTCCCTTCTGCAGTCTTCCCCTATTAACATTTAAAATGATTCTGTAAATTCGTGTATCAATAGAAAAAATCTCTGCCTCTGCCAGCTGCAGTAAATGTAGTTTCCAAATAATAAATAAGAGGTGCATTCATCTGTGTATCTCCTTTGATCCGCATTAGTGATATTCTCAGCACCAGAACAGTGAAGCAAAGAAACTGATTCCTGAGTTTGTTAGTAATTTTATTAGGTGCATCTAACCTTATTCTCTGAAATGAGATCAAATCAGTGCTTCTATGGGTTGTCTCCACTCTGCACTAGAAAATTTTACTTTTACTTTATTTAGAGACATGTCATAATTTCTCCCCCGAGTTTTGCGCCGAGCGTCGTGTAGTGTACAGGGGGTTACGAGAGGCGATTAACACCACGTGACCAGCTACTGATCAGCAATTGTGAGCTCGCACGGACTTCTGGCGTGTTTAATATTTTGCTCCTCCCTCGTGAGGGTATCGCACTGTTGAAGCGGCGCTGCGAGCAGCTGCGACCCAAAATGTATCAGAACCGCTCACGGCGCATGCGCAATCCTGCATCAACACCGCTCGCCCGCTATTTCCCTAATAACACACGTTGTTCGTTTTTATTTCTACACGTTCCTTTACTCACAAAGATTGTCAAGAAAGCGTGTTTGTCGTGTTCATGTCAAATTAAACTGATCACAAAACACAGATTTACTTTCTTTATTTTGTTTTCCTCATCCAACCCCCATAAATCCCTGTGTGTCCTCCTGCAGCACTCCTGAAGGACAACAGGCAAAACAAGACAAAAAAGTCTGACGTGTTGTGTAAAAACTGCTATTTTTAGCATATTTTTAGGGCCAACGTGTTGCTACCAGACGCACAGTGTGAGCAGTCAGGTCGCATCCAAGAACTGGGTCGTGCAGTGTGAGCGCATGACTCGTGAGATCTGCCCTGCGAGGAAGTCGTACAGTTTGAGCTGAAGCTGAGTGCTACGAGTGAAAAAGTCGCACAGTGTACGCCCAGCTTTATTAATATTCTTGTGTGTGTAGAAGTGGGTAATCCTACACACTTCTTTTTTAGATTATCATTGAATCAGCATTGGTGATTGGATTTATGGACAGCGTTCATTCCTCTTTAGTGACAGACTCTTTGTTTCACAGAGGAGGGTCCGTTAGCATTAGGAGTCTGTAGTTTAACTACTGACCCGTATGAGATCAGGTTTCCTTTTTAGCTAACAGAAGTGGAGCTCATTGTGGTCCTGTGCTGCTGTGGTTTGCCTCTTTCATGATCTTGTGTGATGCTCTTCTGCTGCAAATCATGGTTGTAGTTTTCGAGTTCCTGCTGTCAGAACACCCAGATGCTTTAAACTAGAACATTTCATTTTTATTTTTGTCTCATTGCAAGATGTCGTTAGAATAATTTTTCCACCACAAAAAGAATCTTTTGGGAAGGCCAACTTTGCTGTTCTGTACCCACTTGTATATATGTAAGGCAAATCATACAGAATGATGGAAATAAGAAATGACCTTCATTCTGACACAAACTCTTCTGAGCCCCCATTTGTTAACCTTTGCTCGTCTATTGAGCAGCCTTGTGTTTCCGCTAGGCAGGCAGCACGCTCTAACAACCACACCACATCCCCCAAACTGCTCAGAGCAGAGACGTGACCTGTTCTAATCAACACGCTTGGAGCACCAAGATAGAGGAAAGCGGTTAGAGGTGTCATGAAGAACATCTCTCTGCTCTCATGGTTTCTGCAGCTGTTGATTATCAATGTAAAGCAATCTCAAGTCAAAACAAGCAGCAAGCTTTTAGTGTACCAGTTATAAAAAGACTAAGTCATGACCCCAGTGAGCCACTGTAATGGCGGAGATTTTCATGTTCATGAAGGGAAAACCTGTCACCTGATCCCTCATCTGATTGCATTTTTTAGATGTTGTGATTGGGTGGAGATTAGTTATTTAGCTACGTCGCAAGATTTAGGAAACCTACACAGCGTCATATGATTTTAAAGGACCTGTGTCATGCTGTTTTACACATAGCAATGATAGGTATAATATATGATAACATATTAGCATTAGCACTATTAAGATGTCATATTTTTCTGAATTACAAGTTATTTTTGTGAGCCATTACTTCTACCCTGAAATAAGATGCCTGAATCCTATGATCCTATGAGGGCACCAGGAGGTTGAGTGGATTGTCCAGTAATTGGAAGGTTCCAGGTTCAATTCCAACCCTCCTGTTTTTGGATCAAGCATTGTGAAGTGTCACATTCTTTAAATGTGTAGTACACACTGGTGGACGATCATGCCTGTAAAAGTGAAGAGACCTACACTGGATTTCTCACTAGCTGTAATTGTCACATAATTTATTCTGATTATACATTTTGATAAATGTCTGTGATTTAAATTAAAACTATTGGAAAAACCCATTAACCTGGATGGGGACTCCCTATCTTTTACAATCAGATTGTCAACACTGGTGGAATGAAGATTGCATGCATGCATGCTCACGCACACACATAGACATGTTTGCTTTGCAACACTTGTGGGGGCCTGTCATTGATTTCCCTTCATTTTAGTGACTGAATAATGCATAACCCTAGCCATAAAAAATACTGATCTATTCCTAACCTTAACCCCAACTAAGGTATTGCACACCATACCTCTGAAACCAAGTTTTAGGGTTTTTGTCATTGTGAGGACCAGCCAAATGTCCCCACGTTACAGGTTAAATGTGAAAAAAGATGTAGTACGCTCACACACTCACACACATACACGTGCAGTCATGTCTTGTGCACAGAAAGAGCCCTGACGTAAACTGTGGCCTACATAACGCACAGTGCTGGTTTGACCGCGCTCTTTGAAAATAGGTCAGCTCAGGCAGGCGACTGGTCAGACAGATTTGGCAAGCCTCTAGGCTACAGATGGTGTGTGTGTGTCTGTTTTAGATATAGAAATGTCACATTCTTTAAAGGGTTTGTTACTGGGCTAACTTGTGAAATGAGCAGTTTTTGTTGACAGATTGTTCCTGTTGTCAGACTTTCCAGTTCAAAGCCAAACAATGAAGGATGCAAACAAACATCAAAAGTCGTGCTATCAGAAGTGTGCAATGCTGTAATGAGAACACTCTGCTCTAACCGTTTCCTCCTTCAA